GTGAAATATCAAGCGCCTTTGAAATACTGAAGTCCTGTAGTAGAAGTTCTATCGCAGAAAAAAAGAGTGCATTGTGGAGTCTCTCTGCATCAGTCCAAACAGTTCTAAAGATTATCGCAAGCTCCGTCACGCCATTCTGCTTAGGCTCGATCTGCTTTGCGAACTTTCAATAAACAACGTAGTAAAAGTAAGGAACTGGGAAGCCATTAGGACCAAAGAATGTGGAAAACACAAAAATACTTGTTCTTCAAAAAGTATCCAGATGGGTGAAGCTAAGTGTACCGCGGTGATGATGCGGAAGGGCACGCTAATTCATATAGTCAAATACGGTATGGATCAGTTCAACAAACAAAGAGAGCACCACGCACGCATGTAAAGGTAAAGTTGATTAGATGAACATACAAGTGAGTTAGACCGACAGTTCGCTTCGTAGGAAAAAAGCGCAGAACGTACATCCGACTCTCTCAACAAGATTGAGTAGCACTGCATAAGCTGCTGCTCCATTGCATGTCATACTTCCGCTAACGGAGACCTGCGACGGTATCTTGATCATACTGTCCGGCAAATCCTTTTCATCATCGTCTTCTTGTGCGTAATTCAGCTGTGTTATCAGTGCTGTTGCGAATATCAAAATAAAGTAAGAAACCATATTTCTGCTCGATTATATAAATACCACTGAAAACTTTTCGTGCATATTTTTATTTTTTCTGAACCTCTTTTTTACTTTCCCTATTACATTTATCTAATCGATGCTTATTTATTAAAAGTATGCATCGGTGTACCGTAGTTTTTGGAAGAACAAAGTTTGATGGACGAAAGATAAAATAATGCAATAGTACAGCGCGTGGCTACTCTGCTAATGTGCTGTAACGCAACCATAATTTTTGTGACCGAAGCGAACTCACTGCGTTAAGTGTAATTCAGGATTTGATTCTGTAGAATTAAATCAGTGAATTGTTTTCAATACAGGTAGATCCCAACACCAGAATCACTCAGGCTACTTGAACTTTCGGTGTGGCGATCTCAGGA